TGCCCCAAACCCATCCCTGACCCAAACCCATCCCTGACCCAAATCAACACCAACCCTGCCCCAAACCAACCCTGCCCCAAACCAACACCAACCCTGCCCATTTCTCCCTGCCCAGGGATCTGTCCCCATTCCTGGCCGGTATCTCCAGGCAGGATGGACCCCACCACCCCTGGGTGATCTCAGCACCCCCTGGGCCCCAGGAGAGCTCCTGGGCAGTGTCCAAACCCCAGCAGAGGTGATGCTGCCAATGCCCATGGTCCAGAGAGCTGTGCTGGGGCCTCAGACTGATGGGATGGACTTTGCAGTCACAGAATTAAAAAAAATACATATATTCAGAAATTTTTGTGGGGTTGTCTTGGGGGTTTGGTGGAGGCTGATTTGGTTTTGTTTTCTTTTTTTTTTTCCTTTTGTTTTTTTTTGTTTGTTTTTTGGTGTTGGTTTTTTGGTTCTTTTTTTCCTTCAGGGCTATTTTTTGATTAAATGGGGAGGAAATGAAGCAACCCTCCCCTCCTAGCCCAAACCATTATGTTAGAAAATCCTTCTGGCCAAAGGCATTAAATTAAAAAGAATGTGTCATTTTCTCCTGATAATTTTTAATTGATCACATCCACCACGGAGGTGGAGCTTGGCTAGAAAGGGTCTGCACCAAACAGCTCCTATTTGTCTGTGATTTCCCTGGGGCATCTTTTAAACCATTAAAATTTACAAACAACTTCATTTCTTATTAACACAGTTCCTTAATTGCTTCCATGGGAAAAGAGTCAAGTTATTTGCATCTTCTTTTCTTGGGGCTCCAAGGCTTTAGAGCAAACATTTAAGGATAAGCTTTGAAATGAAGCAGTAGCTCTGCTCCAGACCCAGGCCAGGCTCCTCTCCAGGCTGGCTCAGACACCTGCACATCCCACGAGGCCCTTTTAAACCTCTTGGACAAAGAAATGGATGGTTTGGGGCACGTTTTTGGATAACTTCTATTGGCAGCTCACACCAAGCCACCTTCCTTATCCCCCAGATCTGCCAAAAGCTTCCAAGGAGGGCAGCAGCATCACCCAGGACTGAACCCCAGACACACATCTCATCCCCTGGGGAACGTCCAGCACAACTCCTGCCTGCAGTGCCCGGCAGAGAGCTCCCAGCCAGGACACCCTCACTCCCCCGAGCCCCCCATGGCCTCAGGTGTTCCCAAAGCTCCCTGGCCAGGGCTGAGCCCATCTGTGCTCAGCACCGGTGGGAGACGGAGCCGTTCCTCACGTGCAGGGAGTGCTGAACGCAGCCCAGCGCTCCCCACTTTTTGAGGAGCCCTGGCAGCTCCTGCAGGGCTCAGAGCACTCCCTGGGCTGGAGCAGGGCCAGGGGGGCGTCTCGAGAGCCACCAGTGAGACTTTCACCGCAGACAGACCCTCCAGGCAGGCCAGCAGAGCAATTTTAGCGTTTGTGGTCAAGCCCCACCAGCCTCCTGCAGCTCTTCCAAGCTTGGACGGGGCTTGGAGCACCCTGGGGCAGTGGAAGGCATCCCTGCCCTGGCAGGGGATGCAGAGAAACCTTCAACCAGCCCAAAGCACTCTGAGATGGAGGAGCCCATGAAATGGTGCTGCTCCAATGGAAATGTCGGGGCAGAGCATGCCGAGATCCCTCCCGTTTCCATGGGCGTCTGTCTGAGCCCTGCTCCAGCAGGATCCATCAGCTGTGTGTGGGAACACATTCCCAGGGAGCAGCCACATCTGAAATCCCGTTCCTGAGGAGCCCTGGCTGTGTCTGAGCCCCGCGTGCGCTCCCAGCCAACGGCACCGAGCGCACCACAAGCTGATCCATTTCACAAAGTCACTTCCAAAGCCTGAAATATAAATCCCAGAGCTATACAGAAACTGGATCTCACCCAAAGCCAGGAGTCTGTTGCTTGGCTTTAAATATCGCTGGGAAATAGAAAGGGATCCTTTTAGTTAATACTAATTATTATTCAGTCTATCATTAACAGCAACAGCACTTTGATAGACGGGTTGAGAAGCAGCTTTGGTTTGCACTGATGAGTCTGTGACGAGTTGCCAAACTTTTCTTATTACTGATAATTAGCTGCTGTTCGTTCATCAGCTGCTCCTGCTCCAGCCCCAAGTGCTGAGGGCTGCTCGTGTCTGGGGGCCTGGATCCGAGACAGGAGGGATCTGAGCAACCTTCCCAAAAATCCGGGTGGGCAGGGACAGCTCCCTGCACCAGGACAGGGGGAAAAACCAAAACCCGGCTGGCTTCCATGATCTCAACTAATTTTTATAAAATGACCTTTGCAAAACTGGAGCTGCTCATCCTCTCTCCAGCATTTTGAACAACACAAACGCAATGCTGAGACTGGGGACAGCAACTTTTAGGTTTCCTGCTGGTAAGCACGGGATGGCTTCAGGTGTGTTTTAGGACTTCTGACACATCCATCAGGGCATGACAAAGAGAGCTGGGGCGTAGAGAAGCCCATTAGCCCATTAGGGCATTAGAGGAGCTTTGCTCAAAATTCCTGGCAGTTGAGTCATACTTTTGTAAAATGAAACCTCTGTTGATGTCTCCTCGGGGCATAAGAAGTGTTTATAAAATACCCATTACACACAGCGATTATGAGCAATTTGGAGATTTATTTTCATACGTGAAACTGATAAAAATCTCCGAAAATTTCAAACATTAATTTGGCCAAACGTCAGTTTGGCAGCTCCTTTGTTCTAGGGGACAATGGTAAACAATGTTCCAGTGACCTCCAGTGGGGACCGGGGAGAATACAGGACCCTGCAGCCCCCCGGGCTCTGCTGCAGAACCTGGAGCAGGACAAGGCATCCTCCTGCAGGGGACAAACAGAACGAGGGGGCAGAGAAAACCTCCTTCGTTTTTTATTGAAACAGCTCAAACTCACCCCCGTCCCTCTGATCCAGAAACCCAGGTGAAAATCTTCCCTGTTTGGACAATTGGATTTTGGACAAAGATACCTGAGCCCATCCAACCCCAAAATTCTGTGGATTCTTCACTTTTTCATCAGCCAACACCAGCCAAGGGCTCGTAGCTCAGTCCCATCCCTGGTTATCTCCTAATGACTTCTGAGCCAGCCAAGAACCAAAGACTTTTTGTCTGAGATTAATCCCCCTTCCTTTTGTTGGTGGGGGCCAGGGAAGAAAAGGAGGATGGTAATTTTTAAACCACAAGCCCTTCTTATCACCATCTGGTCCTGATGAATATGGGCAGAGCTCCATTAATAAATGCAGGATTACACGGCAGAACAGATAGCAGGGGGAGCACATCAGTCACATCACGCTGCAAAGCTCTGCTAAACTCACTGGGATGACCTTGAAATGAAACAGTGATAGGAGGAACACCCACGTCCTGGAATGCCTGTTCTGGATCTGAGTCAGGAGAGGCACCAGGGCTGAAGCAAAGCAGGACTGAAGCTCCTCTCCTGAACCTTTCGCAGCCACCAAGACCTGCAGTGACTTTTCTCCCCAAGTGGCCGCCAGCCGTGCTCCTTTCAGAGCTCATGGGAGCTCCTGGAACTCGGGGTTCCTGGAGACACAAACAGCCACAGGCTGTCCCGGCTGTGCTCACTCCCAGGAAACGCCTGAGCGCGGTCCTGAGCCTTCCCAAAACACAGCAGGGCCCTCAGGGAGCTCGGCATTCCCAGAGGATTCCCCTCACGTCCTTTCTGCCTGATAGCACAAGAAAAATAATTGTGCATTTTGCCTCTTTCTTTCCATAATTAAAGAACAAACATTTCCCTCAGAAGTCACTGAATGTCCCAGAACTCCATCCCTCACTGCACAGAAGGACAATTCTTCATCACGGAGGGAGCACCAGGACCAGTGCAGGGTCTCTATCTGCCACTGTCTGCACAATATTAATGTAGAAAATAATATATTGGCTCAGATCAATACTTCCCTGACTCCTCCATCCATCAGCCCCCCTCCATTTGATAAAAGTCCTTCCATGTCACGTTTCCCCAGACTGATGAGATCACAGCACCTCTTCCCAGCGTGAGTGATGGTGTGGGGATGTGTAATTGCCCAATAAATCACACCCTGCGGATCAAAGAGCTGAGACCCTCTGGGTGCCAAGGAGGCACAGCAAAACATCATAAAATACAGTAAGTTAATTAATTGCTGCGAGGTTTTTACCACCTTGAGACAGGTTGAGTGTAACTTGTCACCCACAGATACCCTGAGAGACCAAGGCAGAACCACCAGAGCTGGGCCTGGAGCTGGGGGAATTCAGAGCTGGCTGTTCCCATCCCTGTCCCAAGCCCAGCACCAAGGAGCTCCTTCAGCCAAGAAAGGGAAGCCACAATCTGTGAATGTGAGCTCAGGAAAAAACCCCACAGCATCCAGAACCCTCTGCTTTACAGGCATCTGATTCCACAACCTTTAATCCTTTCTGTCAGCCCTGCAAGATCAGGTATTAACATCTCTGTAACCTCTTGTACTAATTAAGACAGCAGATCTTTGGTATTCACCTCCCCAGCAGCTTCAAAGCACTGACAGGGCCCTGAAGTGGTTGTGCTTTTGCTGAGTGGCCCTTGTAAAACAGAAATGATAATGAACACACCCCGGGAAGCTTTAATGGAACTGTGCAGCCATTAGCAAGTGGATTTGGGCTAAAAAAGCCCAGGTTGAGCTTTGGATAATTCCCAGGTTGGTGCTGTGGGGGCCGACACCGACACAGAGCCCGTGGTTTGGTGTCCAGCCCTCAATATTTAATATGCAGCACCTGTGGCACTGCATTAGGAACAGCAAAGTGACCACACACACTCTCTAGCCTCAGCTGCGAAACAGAGCAAGTTTTATTCTTCTTTATTCTTATTTTATCTTCTTTTATAGACAGTTCTGAGAAGGTAAAGCTTTCATTGGTCATCAAACCAACACATCACCATCACTGGGCAGTTGGGAACACCCTTGACTGTTTCTTCCCTCTCCAAGGACTGCTTGGATTCCTCCTGATGATTTCCCAAGCCAGAGTGAGGAATTTGTGTACTTGACTTTCCCACAGGCTCAAGCAGTGCCTGAAGCCTAAAAACCTCGTATTGGAGCACTGTCAGTCCCCACAAGTACCCAGTATTCAGTACCGAGTACTCAGGATGGAGTATTCAGAAATGCTTTTCAGTGAGGCTTCTGCAGCGCTCAGAGGGTTCTGGAACCTCCGGAACCTCTGGAACCTCTGGAACCTCTGGAACCTCTGGAACATCCGGAACCTCTAGAACCTCCGGAACCTCTAGAACCTCCGGAACCTCTAGAACCTCTAGAACCTCCGGAACCTCCAGAACCTCCGGAACCTCCAGAACCTCTAGAACCTCCGAAACCTCCAGAACTTCTAGAGTTCTGGAGCACTCAGCAGGTTCTGCAGCACTCAGCAGGTTCTGGAGCACTCAGAGGGTTCTGGATCACTAAGGTAAAGCTTTCATTGGTCATCAAACCAACAGCACTCAGAAGGTTCTGGAACACTCAGAGGGTTCTGGAACACTCAGAGGGTTCTGGAGCACTCAGAAAGTTCTGGAGCACTCAGAGGGTTCTGGAGCACTCAGAGGGTTCTGGAGCACTCAGAAGGTTCTGGAGCACTCAGAAGGTTCTGGAACACTCAGAGGGTTCTGGAGCACCCCGAGGTTTCCCAGCACCCCGAGGTTTCTCTGCTCACAGCCTGGCAGGGCTGGCCCCTCTGACCTCCCCAGCCCAGCCTGCAGCTCCAGCTCAGGCAGCTCTGAGCTCCGGGCACAGCCCAGGATCCAGGACCGGATAAAGCTGAAATCCCAAAAGCTGCTTTAGATTTAGCATTGCTATTTTTTGCTTGTCTGTGATGAGAGGCTGAGCACTTTCTCCACTTGCAGCTTGAGGAGCACGGCTCCAGGGAAAGGGAACAGTAAAAGTTGGCTTTTGTGTAAATATCACCAGCTCCCTGCACAAACACCTTGGGGCACGGGGGACCAGAGCTCCCTGACCACCCCTTCTGTCCGTGCAGCAACCAGAGAAGGGAAAACAGCAAGAAAATGAGACAGAAAAAGAAAGTAAAAGCTCAAACACATTTTCCCACGCAGCTTATCCAGACCTCCACAATCCCCAACTTCCATTTCTGTGCTGCTGTCCCAGCACAGGTTTGCTGCAGTGAACTCACTACTTGAACAAAATCCACCTTTCCCTCATCTCCTGCATCTCCTCCACCTGCTGCGTCTGCCCAGAGCGGATTTCAATAAAATCATTTGGCCACAGAGGTTCAGCTCTTTGTCCCTGCTCTGCTCTTGGCCAAGATGGAGAATTAAAAATAAAAACAGCAACAAACCCAAGACACAGAAATCAAAAACTCAGAAAAAAAAATCTTGGTGAGGGGAATAATTCAGTTGGAAATCTCAGTACTTTTCCAAACATCTCTGCTGGATTCCACTCCTTGCTGGTCTCTCCCAGCTTAACATCACACTTGGCCAAGTTAACCTTTGGAAAGGCTCTTTTATCGATCAGATGTTCCACAGACATTTACATTTCTTGGAGGGAGGGAGAGGCAGGGAAGAAAATTAAATTACTTTGCTCAGTGATCTTAATTATCTGAAATAATTTCCTTCAGTCAATTCTCAAACAAGAACTCTCTGGAGAACAGTGTATTTTAGTTTGGATAAAGCAAAAGGGATTGAGTCCAAAGAACCACATTTTGTGACTTATTTAGAAATACCTAATTAACCATCAGAGTGAGGAATCCAAGCAGAGCGCCTCCATTACACTTAATTATTAAAAGCCGTTTGTGGGGACACACAAAAGGAGGGTCTGAAGCATCTCTCTGTGCCTTAAAGGGTAATTTTAGCAAAGAACTGAATAAATTGTGTGCAGGTCTGTGCAGCCAGGGGGGACACGCCTGGTTTGGGGCCGTTTGAGGCGTTTCCGTGAGTTCTGTGGGATTGATGGGGGAGTCAGGCTGAGGATGCTCCTCCAGCCCTCACTGAGGGGGTGTTGGGCCCCCTGTGAAATCAAATGAATAACTCAGAGCTCAGTGGCACATCCCAGGCCCCGGGCCAGAGGTCAAACTCTGTTTTCATGGAGCTGGGATGCTTCCCCACCACAGGGAGCTGCTCTCCTGAATTTCCTCCTGCGGAGTTCAGCCTACCTTGCCAGCCCCCGAGGTGATTCACGGACTTAAAAGCAGGGTGGTGTTCAAGGGTTCAATCAAAGCAAACAAATTGCTAAAAATAAATTGGTATCCCATCTGTTGCCAGGCAAGGAATTCAGCTCAACAGTCGAGGAGGGGGATGAAAGGCTGCAATAAACACCTTGAAATGGATATCTGAGAGATTCTGTGGCCTCCGGAAAATGGTCTGGTTTTCTCTTCCTTCTCTTTTAATTCGTTTTTCCTGAGGGGAAGAGTGGGTTTGTGCAGCGGGGAGAGAAGCAAACAAACAGCCAGCTCCCGGATTGTGGATGTTCCAATGAACTTCTGCTGATAATCTGGATTTCATGGGCAGGACGAGCTGCACGGAGGGCTGGGGGTGGGCACGGAGCCAGCCCAGGCTCTGCACGGTCCCCACAGCATCCCAGGAAAGCCTCCCTCCTCCTCCTCCCACGGCAGGAGCCATCCTGTGGCAAATCCTCTGAACAGGGAGGAAATATTCCAAAGCAAAGCTGAGGTTTCTGGGCTGTAATGGCCACTCTGGCTGAGCAGGACTCAGCCCTGGGGAAATCCATCCCCCCCGGGAGAGGCAGAGCAGCACCAGGAGCTGGGAAGGGTTTGAGCAGAGAGCAGAGCAGAGAGCTCTGTGCAGCCTGAGCCTCTGTGCCATGGGGGGAGCCACGGCCAGGGACCCCTCCCACTGTCCCAGGCTGCTCCAAACCCCCTCCAGCCCGGCCTTGGGCACCTCCAGGGACGGGGCAGCCGCAGCTGCTCTGTTCCAGGGCCTCCACACCCTCCCAGGGAAGGATTTCTTCCCCACATCCAACCTAAATTTCCCTTTGTTCAGTGTGAAGCCGCTGCCCCTGTCCTGTCCCTGCAGCTCCTGGGGCAGAGCCCCTCTCTGGGTGTCCTGAGACCCCTCTGGGCTCTCCTTGCAGCCTCCTCTTCCCCACAGCTCCCGTCCATCCCACCTGCAGCTGAGGCCAGGGAGCTCTCCCAGAGCTCAGCCAGGACAGCACAGACATTCCAGGAGGGAATTCCAGCAGGGGATTCCAGCAGGGAATTCCAGGAGGGAATTCCAGGAGGGAATTCCAGGAGGGGATTCCAGCAGGGGATTCCAGCAGGGAATTCCAGGAGGGAATTCCAGGAGGGAATTCCAGGAGGGAATTCCAGGAGAGAATTCCAGGAGGGAATTCCAGGAGGGAATTCCATGAGGGAATTCCAGGAGGGAATTCCAGGGCTCCACAGGGGCTGCTGGATGCAGATCCCAGTGTCAGGCAAGCCCTGTGAGCCTCAGCTCTCCCACACGCCGGGACACGGACTCTGTGACTGCTCATGAAATGTTTTGTCATCTCGCTTCCACTTTTCCCACAAGCTGATGAAAAAAAAGCACAAATCCCTCCGACGTGTTGTCTTCCCAACTCCTGATATGTTTTGGCTACTTGCAGAGAGTAAGAGGAGTCTTTGGAGCAGATGTGAAATTCAGCTCTTGTTTCCTCGCTTGTCATCACTCGGAAAGCAAAACAAACACTGCAGAAAGCAGCCCTGGTCCTGCTGCTCTGTGCCTGCTCCTCCTCCCCAGCCACGAGGGCTCCTCTCGCTCCTTGTCCCAAATTCTTTAGAACCTGCTGAGAAGCACCAGAGATCAAGATAGTGTTGGTGTATCTCTTACAGGAGGGGTTTTTTCCCCTCGTGCTCTTAAGCCTGTAATCACAGATAAAATAGAAAAAGTGATTTAAAGCTGCAATGTGGCCCGGGAGGAAAAAACCTGAACTGAAACACGCATAATCCTGTATGAGACAGGCCCAGAGAAATCCAATTGGAATCTTCCCCAAACCAAATTCTACAGTACAGTTATCTCCTTGATTATTTACTGCTCACAATAAGCTGACAAAGAAAAATTGCTCCTGGAAAAGTCTTTTGGGCAGATTTCAGCATCCTGAAAGATTTCTTTCGCTGGGAATGCCTTAATAGGTCTGGGTTTTAACAGAAATCACAAGGGGTGAAAGGAATGGCTCTGGAAATTCTGGATTCCGTTGCTCCTGTTGCCTTCTTTGTAACAACTGGAGCCCTGGACCTTCTCTGCAGTGGGAGCAGAGAGCAGGGAGGTGTCCCCAGGCAGAGCAGGCACCTCTGCAGGTGCTGACGTTCCATTCCCGCTGTGCTCCTGCTCCCAGAGGAGGTTTCCAGGGAATCCCAAAGCCTGGGGACGGCGCTGGGAGCTGCCCTCGGTGCAGACCCAGCAGCCCAGAGGGAAAGCAAAGCCCAGCAGAGCCCAGCCCTGGCTGCTCCCCATCGGCTCTGCCCTTCCCAGGCAGGGCTGGGCACTCCCTGTGCCTCTCCCAGGGGCTGCAGGGGATGAACCCCCCGAGGCTCCCACAGCCAGCAGCAGCTCCCTGAGCCTCCCCAGTGCACCAAATGAAGTTCTGCTCTTCACGGATGTGTAATTAACCCCTCGAGTAAACATCTATTCAAACCTGCATAATTAGCAGCCAGTTTTTCAAAAGGCTAATGAAAGGCCCTTTTAGGTTCCTAATTGGCTTCCTCTTACCCAGCTCTGGGTATGAACTGTCAGAACTCTGTGGATTGGGAATGTGAGGCTGGGATTCCAGGCAGGATGGCCAAGGGGGCTCACTCAGCCTCTCCTCGTGTGGAGCAAAAGTCGCTCAGGTTGGAGAAACGCAGCCCCAAGCCCCCAGACCCTGACTGCTGGGGAAATTTTGGGATGGTGGTTTGTGCAGGGGTTGGGATATGTCCCAGAAAGGCACTTTTCTATGGAAATGGTGGAGATACCAGAGATGGATGGAATTATTTAGGGACAGATAATGAAGCTGTGCAGTAAATGTGCCACTGAATAGGGTAATTAACTGTAGTGCTCATCAGGAGCTAATTACATGATTCTTTGCCATTTTTAAATGAATGGTTACCATGTATTTCCAGGACCAGAATTCCCAGGTTAAGGAGAATGTGCAAAACCTGAGTTCCTTGGGTAACCCATTCACCAATTTATCCACTGAAGTTTTAAAAATAAAGCCTGGGGAAAAAGAGCAGCTCTTTCCAGTAGAGACCATGTAGACTCAAAGAATCAGCACCCAGACCCACCTCAGCTCCTTC